AAGGCGAGGTCGGATACCCGTTTAAATTTTTTTTTTTTGATAAATTATTTTTATTGCTCATATTAATTAGATTTAGACAAATAATTTTAGTTGCTATTTTCTATTAGAACTAATGAAATTTTGTAAAATTTTTCATTTAAAGTATTAAATTCTAAAAAAAAAAAATTAACGGGACGGGGCGCCCGTTACCCGTCCCCGCCCCGAATACCCGATTAAACCGGTTATCCCCGCCCCATGTGGGGCGGGGCTTTGCGGGTATCGGGTTTGTCGAGTTTTTTTGTTATCCCTATATCGAATGTCAATAGAAATCTAGAAGGGGATCTCTCTTTTATTAATTTCAGATCTAATTATTGGATTGGATATCCGATACATAGCTAATCGGATATGAATTTAACAATCAAATACCATTTACCGCCCTAGAGTTAACAAATACCATTTTTCTTTTGATTATTGCGAACATAAAGAGATTCTATTGTTGAAAAGTTAAAATCATACGTGGATTCGGGATCAAATTAAAAAGGAATTTTAAGCTGGATTAATATATATAAAAAATAAATTGTATACACACAACAAAATATTTTCAACATACGAAAGGAAATTTATCTTATTGGCTTTGTGGGAGTAATTTACCTATGTTGTTGCATATTCACATGATAATGGATCGGCCCGACCCATTAATTGACTATACCATTCATTGCAGCATTCACCCTCATCGACCCATGTATTGGATAATGAATTGTTAAGGGTAAAAGCAGGGTTGGAACCAAGAATTTAGTTCAGAGATGGCGTAATTTAACTAAAAATATACATTTTGAAGTCAAGAAATAAAAATATAATAATATATACGTGAATTATTTATTTTAATATATTTAACTTTTTTCAGTTTATTGTACTAGTTCATCGAATGTAATTTTGGTTTACTTAACTTGTTTTCTAACTCGTTCTATTTCAATCTTATTATTTTTTATATATAATTATTAGAATAACCAATGTACTAGACGAAATTAATTTCGACAATTGAATTTTTTATCACAATAACTCTCGTCCATAATATTCTTATCTAATTCTATAAAACCAGGATATGTATCAACTCTTCAAAGTGTTAGCTAGCATCCGAAAGTGAGAAAAGAAAAATGGAAAAGAAAGAAGTTGAGAAAACAGATGAAGAGATAAGAATTGAGAAGAAGAGTAATTGGCGGGAAGAAACGTTATCCCCAATTTTCAATTGAAACAGAATTTACAATGCAAATATGGTATGCTAGCTACCGTATATATAGACAAAGGAAAGAGATAAAAGGACTAAAATAACCTCAGCTATTTACACTATTTACATATATTCTAACACTCCCTCTTAAGATGGGAGATGAACATTTAACAATCCCATCTTATCTACCAAATACTTGAAACGATTTCCTCCCAATGCCTTAGTCGAAACATCTGCCAACTGATCTTGAGATGGAACATGAAGCATTTTAATTTCTCAAACTTGCACCTTATCTCTCATAAGATGACAATCGATCTCAATATGTTTGGTTCTCTCATGGAAGACCGGGTTGCTGGCAATGAGAATCGCTGACTTGCTATCACAGAACAAAAATGCAGCTGTGTTATGTTTGATTCCAAGATCATTAAGGATATTTTTCAGCCAGCTTAACTCGCACACAACAGCAGCCTGGACCTGTACTCTGCCTCTGCTGATGATCTGGAGACCGTAAGCTGTTTCTTTGATCTCCAAGACACCAATGAATTGCCAAGGAAAACACAATATCCAGTTATTGATCTTCTTGTGTCTGAGCATGCTGCCCAATCAGCGTCGCAAAATCCTTTAAGAATCATGTCAGATTTACTTTCAAACAACAACCCCTGTGCTGGAGTTCCTTTCAGATATCGAAGGACATGGTAAGCAGCCTCCAAATGTGGCTGCCTTGGTGATTGCAGAAATTGACTGAGAACCTGTACAGCATATGACAGATCCGGTCTCGTTATAGTTAGATATAGAATTCTCCCTACTAATCTTCTATACATGCTGGCATCCTTAATAAGTTCTCCCTGATCCTTACTGAGCTTTAAATTCTA